GCTGGAAAGTGCAACCTGTAGATGAATGTAATGAGGAAGACTTTCTACAGATTGTTACTATCAACAGTCATTTTCTGGTTCTGATATAAGGATGATAGTACTGGAAATGGATGTGATTATTTTTTTCCTATCTTTTTTTTTTGCTGAAGTTAATTATTCTGTATTTAATCCTCAAATATTTAAGTAAGGGTATTAGCAACAGGACTGGTAAGTAGCATGGCAAAAACTCTTACTACCCCTTTGGTGTATTGGAGAGCTATATTCTTGCTACTTGCTGAGTAGTTTATTTTTTGCCTTTTTGCCTTCCTCTCCTTCATTGGTGTGCACTTGCTGTGCATATACTGCTTTATATTATGGTTTAATTATATGTATCATATCTCCCCCAACCAGTATATAAACTCCTTGAAGAGAGTCTGAAACTTATTTTGTAATTTCCCTTGGTACATGTAACAGTACTTTCCATATGGTGTAGACATTTAGCAAGTTTTCTTTAGTAATAATGATTACCTGGTTTCACCACTTAATGAAGGTACTGTTTTTCTGATGCCTCTTTACCTTAGGTGATGATAGTAAGTATTTATTTAATTGATTTCCTTTCATACTTTACATAAGTATAATTCAATATTTATTTTAGCAGTTCTATTAAGTTATTCAAGCTCTTGTAAATTAATTCAAAGATTGTCTATAGTAATGCTTGTTTCTAGCTCATACGGTGTCCTCTTGTTTGATCTAACTTGAATTGAGGTAATTTTGTAATTAGTAGAGAAATACTGTGATTACCCGATTCAAAACTGAATACATATTCTAATCACAACTGTAATCATGAAATAAACAATTTATTGTGTTGAGTATATAAATAATGCAAAACCAGTGTTGATTTTCCTTGTTGCACTACATTGTAAAACCTGAATTGGTAGGAGATGATACCATGAAATAAATAAACAAAAATTTGTGAGAATCAGGGCTTAGATGTTGAGACAGTTAAAGACTAACTCATTGCCATGATAGTTTGGATAATAGTAACAGGTCATCTTGTTGGAATAGAATTGCATCGTTTATGATCGACCTTTTGTTAAATCTAAGGCTTTCGTGATATTTGATAGATGGGGTTATTATGAGTAATCATATCCTGGAAGAAGCTCTCCTTGCCAATTTTCCACCTATTCTGAATTTTTACACTTCAAAAAATTTGGAAATTAATAATACCATGTCTTTGAAATTTTCCTGGTTGTGAGTTGTGGTGAGAATCTTTATTTTAAAGAATATTTTTGAAATAGGACATTTCAAGAATATTTGCCTCATATACTTTAATTTCCTAAAAAAATGATGACTGGTAGAGTGAATCTTGTAACAAGATATGGATACTGTGTTGTCCTAACTTATTTTTTCCTTTTAAGGCAGACGTGTTTATTTGTTTGTTTTGGTGCTGGTAATGTCTGGTGCTTATCTACACATTCTTAATTCAGTTAAGCAGTAGGGTAGTAAGACATGAAATTAGACAGAGCTAAGTGGCCAATCGATGCATTGAGTCTATCACCCAAGTTTCAGTCCATTAAAGTGAGTGAGGCCATCTACTGAGATACAAGGAGAAAACATAATTTCTTTTTTTTATACATGTATATTTTAATTTTTTATTCCATATCATATATGTTTGTTTTGTCTGTTTTATAATATTTAGCATATTAGTAATATAGTACATACATTTATAAATAAATGACTACACATGTTGCTACATGCTTACCTATTTACCAATAGGAGTACTTAGTCAAAATGGCTTGAAGACCACAGTTCTGACAAAGTAGCTAATCATAGAGAATGGATACTAAGAGGAAAACATGTGCTCTTTTGAGAGTGATAGGCAAAAGTCCAGTAATTACATAGTAAGAGTTACTAAATATAAATTAAAATATATAGACCAAGAGGCCTATTTATATAGATTCTTCATTATAAAACATAAAAATGGACCCAATAGTTTGTTTTCCAATTTAGGCGAAGTTTTAATAGCTGTAAGTAGAGTACATACAACATTTTAATAGTTGGAGCAATTTAAGTGTAGGCACAGGTTTTTCACATCTTTTCCTGGTTATAGCTGACCTTTATGTAGGACTTTTTTTTTTATTTAGTAGTGTACTGCTATAAATGTTGGTCTTTTTAAAGGGATAATCTGTTTTTGTCTTTTGTGTCCTCCTGGTGGAGGGAATATAAAGTAACTTCTAAAAATTTTAAACAAATTATTATAAATTAGATTATGAAAGACATGTTTCCCAGAGTTGCTAATATTTGTGGGTATTGCTTTTATAGCCAGAAAAAAAATACTTGAAAGAATTAATAGAAATAACTTCTACTACTATAAACAGTCTACATAGATATTAGCCATGACAAGAAGAGAGAAGAAAAAAACAGTGAAATAGAGGACACATAGCAAGGAAGCATTACAAATAGGAAGAAAAAAGTTACATGACAAGTTAAATTTATTATAGCAATAACATAAGTGGGCTAAATTAACTTTCTACAAGAAGGCATACTATTTTTTTCAAAAAGCCTAGTTTATATACTGTATACAAGAGACACACATAAACAAAATGATTGAAATAAATTGAAAATTAAAGAATAGGCCTACCAGACAAATTATAATAGAAAGCGAAGGGGGTCATAATGTTTAATTTGAAAGAGTTTAAAAAGGGATAAATGGAACAGATTATAATGGTGAAATATGCAAACCATGATGATGACATCATGGATCAGTATATGTCAAATTACACAGAACTAAAATATAAATGATAAAAAATTGCAAGAGGGCGCCTGGGTGGCTCAGTTGGTTAAGCGACTGCCTTCGGCTCAGGTCATGATCCTGGAGTCCTGGGATTGAGTCCCACATCGGGCTCCCTGCTCAGCAGGGAGTCTGCTTCTCCCTCTGACCCTCCCCCCTCTCATGCTCTCTCTCTCTATCTCATTCTCTCTGTCAAATAAATAAATAAATCTTTAAAAAAAAAAAACAGTTGTCTTTAAAAAAGAAATTGCAAGAAAGAGGGACATGTGGGTGGCTCAGTTGGTTGAGCATCTGGCTCTTGATTTTGGCTCAGGTCATGATCTCAGGGTCCTGGTATCAAGCCCGGTGTGAGGCTCCATGCTCAGCACAGAATCTGCTTGTCCCTCTCCGTCTGCTCCTCCCCCCATGCTGGTGTTCTCTCTCTCTCAAATAAATAAATAAATAAATAAATAAATTGTAAGAAAGAAAGAGAATTATTAATTCTCAATAGTAGTTTCGAAATTTGAGAGTTCTCTTCTAAATCTGTGAAAGATCCAGTGGTAATTGTATTATTCCTGTATTCTATATTTTTATTTCAGTTGAAGTACAAGACAAAGAGCTATAGATTCTGAAAACAGAAAATATATCTTCTCCATGACTCATGAAATGTTTATAAAAATTGACCGTGTTTTTGGAAAATTCAGGTAATTGCAGAGTAGATAGAAATAGGTCATCCTAGGTTCTCTGCCCACGGTGAAGTGAAATTAGAGCTAATTAATAAAGATAGGGAGGAAATTTGTGATTTTCATATCTTCTCTAACTCTCGGGTTAAAGAAGAAATCAAAATTGCAGTTTTAAGATACGTAAGTAATATAACACCAAAGTATGCTGTGTTTTGTTGTCTGATGAAAACTACTTCTGTATTCTGGCTTCAGGAAGATAGTTAAAGAACAGCGTTCAATAACAAATGTTTTTGACTGTTTGTAATGTGCAAGCCATTTTAGTTCCGTGTGAGCTATAACCCTGAATAAGACTCTTGAGCCTTGGAGCTTGTAATTCAAGGGATTTTATTATAGAAAGCACATCGATGGTAAATTAGTGGGGATGTATATATGAAAAACCCTCTATAATTTCTTTGTAAAGAAACTACAGAGTTCATTATGATCATTTTAATTTTCAACAGAGGTACTTACAGTATCCAAATGAAGAGAAGTAGATTGTTACAGTAGATTGAATGGTATAGAATGTCTGGAGATCTTGCTTCCTTTTTACCTCTGTCTCCTGTTAGCAGTTCTCTTTCATTGGACAATTCAGTTTTATCCCTTTGGGCTTCAGATTCTTCATACATAAATGAGGAAATTGAATTAAAATATAGAGTTCTTTATACACGTTATTTTTGTGTAGCTGTGAATAAATTGATCAAATAAGTATTGAGCATTGACTCCTTTTCAGTTTGTAGAGACTTTTAAACTTAGGTTCTGGTTGGGGAGAAAGACAAACTTAGGATTCCATGCAAGCAGAGCTGGACACATGTATCTTAAACTAAAGATAGAGATGGAGAAGGAAAAGCCCTGGGAGAGGTTTCACAGAGTTGCTGTGACACCTGAGCTGGTCAGGGAGATAAGAGTTTGTCAAGTGAACAAAGAAGGAAAGCGTTCTAGGCTCATTAAATAATAGAATGTATAGAGGCAGGGAAGGGAGTGTTTTACATTTGGGAAACTGCAGTTAGTTCATTTGGCACTTTGTAGGTAACGTGGATTTCTAGAGGAGTAGCAAGACATTAAACACTGAGGTCTATGGGAGCCAAATTGTGAAAAATACAGGCTGTAAGTTAAAGACAATGATTAACCATGGAAATGTTCTTTTGGTGGTGTTGGGAGGTAGCCCGGTCAGATTTAATTGAGATGGATGCAGAGATAGCAGTTAGGAAACTGGCAGTCCAGGTGAGACATGAGAGAGTCTTAATTAAAGTAATGGCAGTGAAGATGATCGGTAGATTTTAGAATACGTCTCTAAAATGGGTGGGCTTCATAGCATCTGTAACAGCCCTGGAAGGATATGCAAGATTTAATATGTGAACATATTTTCCTTCAGAGAGGGTCTATACGTTTCATCAGGTCATATAAGAGAGCTATTAGGGTAAATACATATTTAGGGAAAATCATTCTTTATAAGCTATGAAGTTTAAATAATTTTAAATTTTACGTAATTTGTCAGTGACTAATCTCATTTTTTTTTTCACTTTTTATAGTGGACAGGCCAAAAGCTCAACAAGTTCGAAACTCTAGTACAATCAGACGAACCTCTTCTTTGGACACGATAACAGGACCTTACCTCACAGGACAGTGGCCACGGGATCCTCATGTTCATTACCCTTCGTGCATGAAAGATAAAGCTACTCAGGTAAAAAGAGCAAATCAAAATCAGCTTTATTGTCCTGCAGTTCTTCTGTTTTGATCACATTAAAGAAAATGTAATTTCATTAAATTTTTCCAAATTTGAAATATAGTGTATTCAACCAAAGAAGGAAGCCATTTCTTTCTTTCTTTCTTTTTTTTTTTTTAAGATTTTATTTATTTGACAGAGAGGCACAGTGAGAGAGGGAACACAAGCAGAGGGGGAGTGGGAGAGGGAGAAGCAGGCTTCCCGCGGAGCAGGGAGCCCGATGCGGGGCTCAATCCCAGGACCCTGAGATTGTGACCTGAGCCGAAGGCAGACGCTCAACGACTGAGCCACCCAGGCGCCCCGGAAGCCATTTCTTTTAATAAACTTTAGACTAATTGCTTTTTGTCCTTTGGGTTTTAAAAGTTTTAAAAGTATTTAAAATTTAATAAATAGCACATCAGTCTATAGTACACAGTTTTTGAGACATAGTTTTAAGAATTGCTTAACAGAAATGAATATAACAACTAGTATCTATATGAGAAAATAGAAATAATCTTTGGAGAAAAGTTTACACAGTTCTTGGAAATAATTTACAAAGTATTAACACATAGTTTGTCATACTTTTTCTATGTGTGGAAGGTTCCCCAGCCTTTTTGATTTGAGAAGCTTTTCCTTCCAAGTCAGGGAAAAATCTGAAAACATCTTAATTTATGATTTCTGAGTTCTTGACCATATCTTCATAATAGTAGTCAATCAGCATTATGAAGAACACTAAAAATATAAGAGATGTTTGTGGCCTTAAAGAACTTGCAGCATAGTTAGGAAGATAACATGTAAATTTATGAAAATCAGTAATAGGATATAGTATATAATTAGATGTGTGATGAATAGAGCACTTAAATATGAGAGAATCCAAAGGAATGAGAAGATTTGGGGCTTCATGGGTTAGGGAAATGGAAGGATTAGAGCTTCATGTCTGAAGGGAAAAGGGAGATAATTTTGGACATGATTTATGAGAATCTTCTCAATTTTTGTAATTTTCTCAGACAAGCTTGAAACCATGAAATCAGCTTCTTTATCATTCATCCTATCAATTTTGTCTTTGTAATATTTTATGCTGTCCCCGGTCTTTTGCTTTCCATTCTTCATTTTGTGAGGAGAAGGATCAGTTGGAGTTGGTAGGCAGTGGGATTCTCAAGTAGAAATAGCTAGTAAAACTTAGAGATGTAGACCTGGACACTTAGAAACGGATGCAGGTACTTCAGGACCACCTTTCTGGAGGAGTTGGGTTCGCAGGTGTGATAAAGTGTGGACATGGAACATAAAGGACGAGACGAAGGCCTTAGTCTGGAAATGCACAGAGGGAAAGAGGGAAGACTGACGTGCTCACCCAGAAGCAACAGGAAGAGGAGGGAGGGGTCAACATTTATTGACTATGGATCATGTGCTGTGTGTTTTATATCCTGAGTTTCATTTAATTCTCACAAGAATCTTATAAGATGACACAGATGGGGAAGCAAAAACGCAGGATCGTAAAGCTAGAAAGTGTTGGAGCCAGGTTTCTAACACAGGTCCTTTTGTCCATCATCCTCAGCTTCAGTTTTATGGTGCTGTTAGGATGAATGGAATACTGCATGCATGTATCAGCTAGTAGAGTAACTATCACTATGCTTCAAGATAAAAGCTCTTCTTTTTAGATTTAAAAAAAAAAATCCCACTTTTTATTGAACATGTACTTTATGCAGACACTATTCAGAAAGAGAGGAGCCAGAAAAAGAGCAAAAGCTAAGAGAAGAACTGAAATAGTCTAGCCTTAGAAGCAAGGGAAAGATTTTTTTTTTAAAGATTTTATTTATTTATTCATGAAAGACAGAGAGAGAGATTGAGAGAGAGAGAGAGGCAGAGGGAGAAGCAGGCTCCCAAGGAGCAGGGAGCCCGACGCAGAACTCGATCCCAGGACCCTGGGACCATGCCCCGAGCCGAAGGCAGACGCCCAACGACTGAGCCACCCAGGCGCCCAAGGGAAAGATGTTTTAAGGAAGAATTGTTAACACTCTCAGGTTCTAAAGAGAGATTATGGAGAAATAAGGGCTGAAGTTAGGAATTCAGGGTACATTATCTTGGAGAGTGTAATATTCATGATATGATAGAGGAAGAAACTCAGATACCAAGAGTTAAGAAGAGAGCAATATAGAGATAGAAAAAAGTTTCTTAATCTTGTCTGTTTCTTTATCTGCACAACGAGGCTAGTGAAACCAACCCATGATAATGTTATATGACTAAATATGATAATATTTGAAAATGAGTATGTCAGTACCGATTAGTAGTAGTTACAGATAGGATCATTTGTAACACAAATATAAATGAAGACCCATATACCATGTATGTATACGTTAACAAACCATTACATAAAATATATTTTGTCCTCCTCCTTTGACAAATAAACCTTCATGTGGACCTTGAACTTCAGGTTTGAACTAAGAAGTTGGATTCTTCAGACTTACATGCCAGAATGTGTCTGCATGTGTTGAGCCCATCCCGCCTTCTGAGCCTAAACCCATATCTCTTCCACACACCATTCTCTTCACATGGCTTCACACATATGTTTCAACTCCCCAGTCCTCACATCCATGATTCATTCATATTCCTTGAGCAAGTGAGACCCAGGGAATAGGTTCTTTCAGACCTTGGAGGCGAGGCTACTCTGTTTAGGCAAAGGAATTCCTGGGTCTAGATTACCCAGGGCATAGGCTGTGGCAGAGGTGTGGGTTCATGGTGTGTATGTTCTTTTTTTTTTTTTTAAGATTTTATTTATTTACTTATTTGAGAGAGTGAGAATGAGAGAGAGAGAGAGAGCATACGAGAGGGGAAGGGTCAGAGGGAGAAGCAGACTCCCTGCTGAGCAGGGAGCCCGATGCGGGACTCGATCCCAGGACTCCAGGATCATGACCTGAGCCGAAGGCAGTCGCTTAACCGACTGAGCCACCCAGGCGCCCTGTGGTGTGTATGTTCTTTTGGACCCATGGTCTCTTCACCTGTGAGGAGGGGTATGACTAGAAGAGGGCCAGAGCAGCTCCCCCTAAAACTTGAGGTCCAGGGACGAGGTCTGCCTGGATCTCCATGTAGATCATTTATTTGAGAAAGGACATTGAAAGGAAGATAAAACATAGGCCTCGTTTTACAGATGAGATACTGAGGCCTGGAGAAGTTAAATAATTGGTTGGTAAGATAGCTAATAAATGAAGAGATTTGAACCCAGATGTGGCTGATTCCAAAGCTTTTGCTTTTTCTCCAATTCCCCACTGCCTCTCATAGTAACCGTTAAAGCATATGGCATTTAACCTTGCTTGCTTCAGAAGCATAAGAAATGGTCTTACCCCCAAGCCTCTGTTGGTTTAATTAAAGATACAAGAGATGAACGTATGAATTTTTTTTTATTGTCACATCCATTCTTCTTGGATTAACTCGAGCTCTTAGGGAGGCAAGTAGAAGTTTTTGTTTATTTAGGGGAAGTCAGTGGAGGGAGCATAGTACGATCTGCTTACTACAGATATTAAATATCGAGGCTGTCTGGTTTTGGTGGAGGATGTCTCTAGTATTTTCTTCCTTTTATATTTCCATATTTCAACTACTTTAATTATTGAAGGCTAGGAATAAAATTCTTAATGTTTAATATACTTACACACTGGGCCTTCTAGAAAGAAGTAGCATAGTGTTGGGGAAAACACTGTGGACTTTGGAGATGGATCATGTGTTCAAATCAAGGCCCAATATGAGAGAACCTTCTGCGATAATGGAAGTTTTTTATATCTTGATAGAGGTTTTGGTTATGTGGGTGAATGCATTTGTCAAAACATATGCAAGTATATGCTTGTGCATTTTACTATATAACTTAATTTTTAAAATATAGAGCAGTAAACAAATAATTGAACTCTGTTTAGGGGTGAAGTATACTGCTGTCTGCAGCCTAGTTAGAAGTGAATCACAAATAAGATCAATTGATGGATAGGCAGATATATGATGAAGCAAATAAAGCAAAGTGTTACATATAGAATCTGTTGACTTTATGAGTGCTCACTAAGCAGTTTTTTTTTTTTTTCGGTAAACTGGTTATGTTTGCAGTTTTTTAAATAATGTGTTGGGAAAAGAATGATGTCCCACTGAATTAACTGTCATGTGGTCCAAACTTCACTTTCCTTTTCTATAAACTGAAGTTAGCAATACCCAATTTGCAGAATCATGCATTTATTCTGAGGACTAAAAGAGACAGGTTCACATGTTTAAGGCCAGTGAAGACATGGATCATTGCCAGCTTATTAGAATAATCTGTGTAGCTTAATAGAAATAAAAACTAAAAACCCATTTGTGGAATTTAATATTACTTTAATACATTAGCCGTGCAGATACAACCTTTTTTAAAACAAAAAATTATTGTCAACTCTTAAAATTGAACTTGCAGTTAAGGTTACAGTAATCAGACAGTAGTATTTTCTCAGTTTTCACCATATAGTCTAAAACTTCCATCTCTAGACAGATTTAAAATTCTGAATGTGAGTGTGTTTTTAAATGAGAAAATAATGCATATAGTTTTTATAAAGTGGTCAAACAGTAAAAATAGAACAGTAAGAAAAGGTGTTTCTTCTAAATTCCCAGGTATAGTAGCGATGAGGGCTTGTCACAGATATATACATTCTCTCTTCATGGCACATGGTAGAATTTTACTTCTCTGCCCACCTAAAGTTAAGTTTGGCCATGAGACTTACTATGGGAAGAAGCTTTAAAGAGCTGGTGCACCAAAACCAGACGAGGACACCACAAAAGAAAATTATAGGCCAACATCCCTGATGAATTTAGATGCAAAAAAAACCTCAACAAAATATTAGCAAACCTAATTCAACAATACATTAAAAGGATCATACACCATGATCAGTGGGATTTATTCCAGGGATGCAAGGGTGGTTTGACACCCACAAATTGTTCAGTGTGATACACCACATTAACAAAATGAAGGATAAAAA